AGGCCAAAGTTGGCCCTGCTGAAGTCCAGAGATGAGATCTTGCTTGGTATTCTCTTCCTACCGTACAAGATCCTGAACTCTACCATCTCATGGTTGCTGCAGCCAAGGATGCCCTCAACCTTTGTTGCTTCAACCAGACCTTCCTTGTTGGTGAGCACAAGGTCCAGCTCCTCTCCTGGTCAGCTCATCCACCATTTGCGTGAAGAAGTTATCATCGATGCACTGGAGGAACCTCCTGGACTGTGGATGGCTGGCTGTGCAGGCCTTCCAGCAAATATCTGGGTAGTTGAAAATCCCCACAAGAAGCAAGGCCTGTGACTGAGAGGCTGCTGTCAGCTGCTTGTAAAAGGCCTCTTCATCTTCCTCAGCCTGATCAGGTGATCTGTCATAGATACCCACCCCATTATCACCTGTGCTAGCCTGCCCCTTAATTCTCGCCCAGAAACTCTCAACTTGCTCCTGATCTGCCCCTGGACAGAACTCGATACATTCCAGTTGCTCTCTCACGTAAAGAGCAACTCCACCACCTCGCCTTGTTGGCCTGTGTTTCCTAAGAAGGACAGAGCCATCCATGACCACATTCCAGTAATGTGAGCTGTCCCACCACGTCTCTGTAATCGCAATGAGGTCGTAGCTCTTCAACCGCACACAGATTTCTAATTCCCCCTGCTTATTCCCCATGCTTCTTGCACTGGTATACACACACTTAAGGGACTTAACAGAGAAGCATCTGTTACTGTTGCTTGTGCTGTACATGTTGGAGTGGATGCACTTGAGCAGGGTCATTGTTTTCACCCCTAACCCTGGGATACTTCCCCCTGACTCATCTGTAGTGAGCCTGGTTTTATCCCCTTCCCCCTTCCAACCTAGTTTAAAGCCCTATCAATCAGTCCCACAAGCAAGAGTTCTCCTCCCTCTCTGAGGCAGCCCCACTCCATCTATAGCTCTCATACCAGGTGCCACGTAAACTTCCCCATGATCATAAATCCCAAAATGTTGCTTTAAGTCATGTCTTTAAGCCATGCATTAATCGCATGTCATTTCCTGTCCCTTTCAGTATTCCTACCTGCTACTGAAGGGATAAAAGAAAAAACTACCTGTGCCCCCAATCCTTCGACCAGTCGGTCTAGTGACATAAAAGTCCTTTTTAATCTTCTTTATACTCCTTTGCTCGATCTCATCGCCGCCAGCTTGGACAACCAGCAGTGGGTAGTAATCAGTGGGACGCACCAGACCAGGGAGTTTTCTGGTAATGTCCCTAACCTGAGCTCCAGTGAGGCAACAGACTTCCCCGTGGGCTGGGTCTGGCCGGCAGATGGGACCCTCTGTTCCCCTCAGGATGGAATCTCCAACGACAACTACCCCCTTTTCTTCATTGTCGGACTGGTCCTAATGCATGGGGATGATTCACTCACTGTAGTCAACCCCATGGGTGCATATCCATCCACCTCTTCACTTCCTTGTCTCTCCTGTTCCAGAGCCCCATACTTGTTCTGCAGAGGCAACCGTGCAAGCGAGGGAGGCTGGGCGGGGACTCGCCTACCTCTCCAAGGTAGGACTGTTTCCATTCCCCCCCACCTCTTAGGTCTCCTCCTTTGACCTGATGGTCAGAGGGGAGGGGATCCCCTGCTATGTGTAGAGCTTAGGTTTCATTTCCAATGAATGAAACCTGAAAAAAAATATTTACTTCAATTATGCACAACCAATACATCCTTTCTGGTTGCACTTGGTAGTTGAATGTAAATGCACATCTGAAAACATTTCCTTAACCAGTTTTTTTCTGGTAAACCACATCAGCTCCAATTAATTTTGTAAATAAATATAAATCCATCAGTATGGGTCAACAAACATTCAAAATTATGTTTCCATTTATAGTGAAAACCCAGTAACTTGCAAGTTATTAATTTCTGTAGCGGTACATTACCTCTAATTAGATCTAGTGAAGGCTCTGGGGAAAAACTACACTGAATTTCAACTGCTGACATTTTATTTCCTGCAACATCTCCGAAATTAAACACCAGCCTTATTGGAAGGTGAAATAGGATTTCCAACTTACTTGTTAGATGCGCAGTAAATTCAGGGGCTTCCAGGTCTATTAAGATCAGACTGGCTCTTGCTATTACTTTCAAAAGGTTTGTAGATAAACCAGTAGTGAAGTAAGTATAGAGGAAAATATCTGGAGAGGAGGACATGCTCCTTCTTTTCTAGATGAGAGTAGTAATATCAAAACCCAAAAGTACCTTAAATACATCTGAGGATTCATGTTACAGGTAGAAGGTTAATAGATATATCAGAGTAATCAAGAGATGCCCTCAGCACAACAAGACCCAAAGTATTTTTATTTTTTCTCATTACGGTATGATGAAAACTTTAGTCTGTAGGTACTCAGAGCACATCAGTATCTGTGCTCTAGGCAAGGTAATCACAGGTGATCATTTGCTCAAAGGTCTGTGGATAAAGGTCTGACTTGCCAGCAGAGCTCATTCAACAGTCAGAGCAGAGGAAAAACAGAGCAGCTGTGCGCAACCGCAAGCTGATTGAGCCCATCTTTTTGGCAGGTGGGGGAAAAAAAAAAAAAGCTTCTCTGCCCCCCAACATCTTTTATTATGCAGTAATTCAGTACAAATATTTGCTACCACTGGACATGCTAATACTTTTTAAACACTATTTTGAGACTGAGAACCAGTTTGTTTACCGTTCTAAACGGAACAGACCTTTAACAGAGGCTTAGTATCGGATTATGATTTCATTAAAGTTCCTAAACAAGGAAATGTGGTCTGTTGTACAAATAAACATGCCCTGTGGTTCTATTTCTCTCCTTCTGGGACGAAAATCAGAAGAATATTTAGGATATCTTTTGTTAGTGTTGGAAACATTTTCATCACATCTCTGCACCATCTAATTCTACCCTGAACCATGAGATATTTTCTAAATAAATGGTTGTGAAGGTCATATTCTCTTCTGATCTGGCATTTAGATATGAGATAAAAGGATAAAGTTAGATTTTCCATAAGATTTGTAATCAGAGGAATTGTGTAAAGTTAACTGCAAGAAGACTTTCATCCATGTGTCTCAGTAGAGTTTGTTGAAACGCGTTCTTCCTGACTCTACTCCATCAGAAGTGCTCAAATTCTTAAAAAATACACCCATGTCTACGTCACGGTAATATACAAAGAGTGGATGATAGTCTAAATTATGTGTGTGATATCTAAGCACTGAATTAAACTTCTAAAAAGATAAAGTAAGCTCTTAAAACGCTGACAGTGTTTCAGTTAACATGCTTTTGAATGCATATTTTATAGTTCTACAGAAGTCTGTATCTCAAAAGTGTAAAACCTTTGTGAATCAATGTCTTCATCAGCTGAAATCTAGTTTTATTGTTTTGAAATATATCTCAGATTCTTCTTGTCCAAAGCTGTTAAATACATTAAGATCAAGAACATACTCAGAAGAAAATAAGAATTAAGAAATTGAATATTCCCACATTTCATTTTGGATACTTATGCACTAGAAAGTAAAGTTGTCATAGATCTATCCGTAATATTTCAATGTAGTCTACTGGATTACTTTAACCAAGCACAAAACAGGAGTCATGTAAATATATAAATTCAAATAAATGGAATCCTTCAACATATAATAAACAAAAAAATGCTTCATTAAGAGTCATGTAATGGAGGATGAAGAATGCTGGTTAAACAAGGAATATGTCAATATATATATGTTTAGGAAAAGGATATATAAACACTGCAAATTTTTTTCAGGGCCTTGAAGTAACCAAGACACCTTAGATTTCCCAAAGGAAAATGAAAAGGGAAAGGCCTAAATCTGTTAAACTGACTAAAGAAAAACTACCTACTAAGCATATGTAAAGAAATCATTACTAAGATCAAACTTCTAGAAGCTATTACTTGTTACGTTGATACGCTTTGCAACAAGGCAAAACTGATAAAAACTGGCTGATAAAAAATAAACGCAGTATGAAGAAAAGTGTTTGTGTATATAGTCTTAAATACAAGTGGCCAAATACATCTAATCACATGAATATCAGTTTTCAGAAATTATATCTTAATTGTTTAATTTATATGAAGCTCTCCAAATAAACACTCAATGCTTTCGAGTGCATTTTCTATATTAGATGCTCCATGAACAGCATTAGACAAAATATCTTGTGCAAACTGAGCTCGAATCGATTCAAGAGATACCTCTTTTGCCACTTCTGGATCAGTTAGACCTGTTAGTTTCCTCCCTTCTTCCACAGCATTTTCCTCTGTTAAGACCGTTACGACCAATGCACTGCTGTAAAATCAATACAGGGAAGCTCTTACGCTATTCTGAGATGCAGATTTAGCTTTGACTTCAGAGGTACCTGAAGGATTACAAAATCTGTTAAGCCGTTTCAAAATTAAAATTGAGTGTTTTGTTTAAGATAGTATTCTGCATCTGAAAGCCAAAAAGATTATGATGATTAGTCATTTAGATTTGGACTTTCTGTCCTAAAAAGATTCTCACCCAATAATTTCTGAAGTAAGACAATATATGCTGTTTTATCAGCAGCTATACTAACATAGTGATTGTTATAAGGAAGATATTTATCCTACATGGGAAGAGCAAGGATTCCATCAGAAATTACTTCTTTTTTTTTTTTTTTGAGAAAATAGTCACTCTCTATAAGTTTGGAAAGAATTTTAAACATTCCTGTGCAACATCGTCTAGGTGTTCCTGCTCTGGCAGGGGGATTGGAGTAGATGATCTTTTGAGGTCCCTTCCAATCCCTAGCATACTGTGATACTGTGATACTGTGACACTGTGATACTGTGATTCTTTTTAAAAGGAAAAGCACTCTGTGCTAGAAGTCACTAAGCTTTTCAGAAAGAGGGACAGAATTTAAAATCCTTCAGCCCCCTTTGGATGTAGCATGTTTTGTTGGTGCTATAAATTCAGTGTGATGTATATTTACATACCTCAGTATTGTAAAACAAGCTACTTACTCAGTCATACAATTCACTAACTGTTCAAAAATGGGTTTTCCTTTGTGATCTTTATAGAACTGTGAAGCCATTTCACAAGTTAAAGAATGTTCTTACTCAGAATAGTCTCTCTGTTTTGCTAGACAGAATTACTATTAAGTGCACAGTGTTTAATGAATGATCAATAAAAAGATTGTGCTTAATTCATGTACAGCGTGATTACAAATACAATAGTACTACAGCGCTGTCTTTAACAGAGATACGGGCAAGTTACACTGAGAACTATTTCTAAGGTTTATTTCTCTACGCAAATATATTTTTGGTCGCTTGCAGAAAATTCAATATTCCCTCGTTTTACTAAATTAACACAGAAAGAGATACAGCAGGAACAAACAAAAATAGCAATTATTATTATGAGTTCTTTTTTGGAACAAAGTATTTAAATCCCCATTGTTTTAAGTAAATCTCTTGTCTAAATACAAAACTTGAGCCAGCATCTGAATTTTTGCGAACACTTCATTGCCTGATGCTGTGTATACAGCTATCATCCTCCTTAAATCTCTCTACAAAACCCAGACACTTCAAGGTATCGTGGTTGTGGTACAGCGAATCCTTGTGACATTTTTACCCACCTTGGAGTGATGCAGGACCAGGTGAAGAACTCTGCCTACTCCCTGGACCCCGTGCACATGACCATCGATAAGAACATTTCTCCGTCTAGGCTGTGCTCTGCGTGCTGTCACGGAATCACATATGGATATTTTCACTGGTGCTTACCTGTCTGACTTCTTGGCCTCAGTTTCACCAGGCATGCTCTCACTCGATCCACTGAGTTCTTTCCAGTAAGGAATAGCATCAGTTGCTTCTTTTTTAGTGATTACTAAAATGTGGCATGGACCGCTCATCATAAATTGAACAAAATCATCAAAATCGGGCTAAAAAAATAAAATATATGCATATATCATTTTCCCTCTATGAGGTGCAGAAACTCTGAGTTTATCATTGGAAATGAGATGACTTACCATTCCAAAGTAACTCAGAATTCCTATTCTAAATTTGCATTCATGTACATTACTCAAAACCACATCAAATTGTTCGGGAAGTTCTTTAATCAGCTATTTGAGACCACATTATAAAATGTCTGAACTAAAATTAATTGAGATAAAGGAAGTCATAGAATTACATTAAGCAAGTACCACATGTTCTTCTGAGTTAAAATGCAAATGACAGGAACGAAGAAAATAATTGAGAAACTTAATATAAATATAGAACACCAAAGTATTTGCAGGAAATTTGTAGGCCTTGTCTTCATTCTCTTTGCTGTGTTCTTTTCCCTCCTTCAGTTCAACCTTCAATCTTAGAAATGTACATTTTCATTAGAAAATAATTTTGAGGCTGTTGTGAGATTTTAATCTTTTTTCCCTTGTATGTTATCTTTTTCTCCCATATTTCAGCAAATATCTTCTCTCCTTTTAAGTATTTGACTAAACCATTTCTTTGCCAGTCACTCTCATCTGATCATATATGATAAATTTGTGCTTTAATAATACAAGGCTGAAATATCCACATGTATGCTTTCAATTAATTACTTTCCTCTTATCTATGCATACACTTGATCCATTTCACAAGATAAACAAACTGGATCACCCAGCTTCATAGAAACAATTTCTTCCTGCAGTTGTATCTGAAGGTCTATTGCTTATGTCCCCGTTCTGCTATAACAGGGAGCCTCTGGACCTTCAGCAAGCTCACAGAGCATCAAACTGGGAATAATTTTGCTCACTGGGCACTGAGGAATTCATATTCTATATGTCACTTCAATACAATTATTTTTCATCTAAAAATTGCACTTAAAGAAAAACAAATAATTGGCTTTTCAATATGCGTAAGGCTCTCTGGACCACTTCTGGGAGTTCATGGTAGTTTTGTTGTTCTCTGTGTCCTAATGTTGGCCATGATCTACCACAGTGTAGTCGTGTTGGCATATATCAAACACTGCACACTTTTTCTCTTTGTTCTTCCCACATCTCCTGCTAGACCTACCTAATCTCAAATCTGGCTGCTGGTCTCATAAAGATGACTTTCACCTTTGTTTCAAAACTGTTTGATTAAACTAGAATCCCAAACTTGGCCAAAATCAAGTTCTCCACGATTCTTTACAAGCTCACCCTGCTAGTTCCTTTCTAAATAATAGTACAACCAAGTCATGATGACTATCAGATTTATTCCCTCTCATCCCCTCCCCGGGCTTCAGTAGAAACCATCTCATCTCACTCTAATTCATTTGGAATGCCATGAGAATACTTTCTCACCTTCTTTTGATTATGCCATCCCTTGCATTGGTACCTCTAATAAACTAGTTGCCTGTGTACAATTCTAGCCTCCATCTTATGCAGACTTTAAATAAGAAATAAATACGTGCTAAGCAGCTTCATTTTTGTGCTTCAGATCCTTCTGCAGAATTAACTTTAGCTACAAAGCTGCCAAAGTACTTGACAATCTCCAGGATCTGGCTTAATGTCAAGCAGCATAATTTCATTGATTTCTTGAACTTTCTGCCTGATCTTAACTGTTTCTTGTCCCCTAATACAGCATAGAGACAAGAAAAATAAATAATAATTTAAAAAATCAATGGAGATGCCTTCTCTTTCTGCCTGTGCATGTGCTTACTCGCAGTACTATCCCATAATAATAGTATAAGAAATTATATAACATATACTGTCACTACTATTCTGGCTGGAAGAATATGGGTCAGATACATACTGTCATACAGATGTCACTGGATTTTAGTTTTGTGCTATGTTTCAGCACCTAACAGCATGATAACAGAAAGAACTAGAAAATCTTTTGGTATTTGAATTGTTTAATTTAGTTGGAATGTTAGGATGCTACCAAGCCATATTTGTATGAGTCAGTAAGAAAAAAGATGCTCCTTTTTTTTTTTCCCCTATGTACTAAATCTACATTAATTCAGTTCAACATACTAAAAATTTAAAAAAGAGATTTGCAAACACACATAGATACAATGATATATTTTAACCTTTCTAGGTTTTCAGTTTTTTTCTTTTACCTGTTCTTTATTCTGGGCATAGAACACTCTGATTTGCTCTTCAGTTAGCATTTTTACTTCTGCTGCTTCAACCACATATCCTGCATCTCTAATCTGCAATTATTTAGTTATTACTCAGGAGCATTTGAAAATGGATACATTAAAAAAAAAATCACATGCTATAAATCTAACTATTGGGTTTGGAAGCTATTTTAAGTTTAAAATGCCCTGAAATATTCCAAATACAAGTGCTACATTTGCCTAAACTGATGTTCCAGCTTTTCAAAGCATTTCGCTAAACTCAGGATCACAATACCCACAAAATTAATGTTTGTGAAAAATACAGTGCAGCTCAATGTAGGTATTCATTCATTAGTTAATAATCCCTTTAACATTGAATAAACTAATTTTAACCACTGTGAATTATTAACATGCAATCACATCTAAAAATGTTATCCTAGACTGTGTGTACTTGTCAAAAATTGTATTAGACTAAACTACTTGACTTGAGAAACAATAAATAAAAATAAAATTTGTTTTATGAGTCTCTCTTAAGTTATATTACCGCACTAAATTTGAGTATTTATAGAGATGCACATTTAGATGACCTATCTTAAAATTCAGTCACCTGGGTAAGAGGTTTATCCTTTACACAGATATTTAAACAACAGCCCTAATACTGATCCCATGTTGACATTAATCTGCTTCCCTACTTTGCTCCTTAAAAAGCTCCTGTGATGTGGCTGAGCATGGAAAATGTGTGAGTATACACCTTGATGCAGCGCAGAATTCAGAGTCAACAGCGGCTGCTCAGCTTTCATGCGCTGCTGGATTTTTTTATTTTTTTTCTTTACTGAGCTTTCTTCCCTTCTGGCCAAGGTAAAGTAATTGCAGAAACAACTTATACAACAATTCAAATCTCTTTCCTGCAAAGGTCCCTCTCCCTGTCATCACACTTTTTAAAATTAACATAATTTTATCATCTTGATATACAGTGTAACAAGGGATTTTTTAATAACAGAAACAGTGAGAAATTCCTGTAACTGAAAGGAGCACTTTAGTACCATATTCTAGAATGCAACAGGATTTTTCTTTCACTGCGTGATGGCTTAAACACTGAAACCTTGGATGCACCCTCGTGTGCTTGCTGGAGTCCCATTCTTTACTGCAGGAACAAATATTGTGCTACTGACAGATATCAGTGTGCAATTACCAGTGCACATGAATTAGCCTCGCCATCTACAGGATATATTGTCAGACGTGTCTATCTATGCAAGCACTCTTCCATAGGGAACTAGTTAGTTGTGTGAAGAATTGTCACCACAACAATCTCTAGTTCCCAGTTCTATTGTAATGTAAGGTGGAGGTGGGGGAAGATAATTGCTTGTTAGATTTCACATGTTGCTAACCTGCAGCGTATGCATAGTAGTCATACCCCATCTACTGACATAAAATAGTATCAGCTGGAACACCGTATTATTTCAGGTCAAAATTATCATGCTTTTATCATCCTTAGAGAAATATTAACAAATCTTGTTCTAAAGCAGATCGTAATTTATACTCAGGCTTAATTTTACATCTTGCTACTCTGTCTCTTAAGTAAGATGAATGAATCTTTTCAAATTCTGCCTACCTTTTGTTTAATTTCTTCTACATGACCCTCCAAGACATCATCAGGTTTTATAATTCCAGCAGAATATCTGACTGGTACTTCTTTTTCTAGAAAGGGGGGGAAAAAAAATATCATGTGTCAATGAGTACATTTATCAAAATAGGTCCATAACTACACATTTCTTTACTTAGAAGTGCGTTTCTCTAAATAATTCTCGATTTTAATATCAAATATGGCCAAACAGTAATTCCAAACGAAAAGTGACTCCAGCAGTTAAGGCATATCTTGGAGTGCAGGATAGACCTTGGCCATCCCCAAAATTCACACTCCTGATGTTTTGGGTAATAATGGAGAAATGGTTGACAGGTAGCTAGAAGTAATGGAAAACCTGCAGTTTAATACAGATGCTTTGTCTAGGGAGCTCTGCACATGCAGGACTAGAAATGTGGAAAAAATTAATATTACTAAGGAAAAATCGGTAAGTGAAAACCTGTATGAATATTCATAGAATCATAGACTGGCCTAGGCTGGAGGGGACCTTAGAGATCATTTAATCCAACCTCCCTGTCATGGGCAGGGATGCCTCTCAGCTAGATCAGGCAACACATGGGGACCGAACAGGGAGCGAACTCGTGACCTAGTTGTTATCAGCACCACGCTCTAACCAACTGAGCTAACCAGCCCCCTATTAGAGACCTCCAGTAAAAATACACATTTATTTTCATAGTTCGTATTTGTTTCCTTAGCATTGCGGATGCTGACATAGTTTCACACAGGATGGTAGGGGCTGGAAGGGACCTCTGAAGATCCTCACCAAATAACAGAAAGTGGTAAGAGAATAAACTTCATTGTCATTGCAGAATCTGAGGTTTACAATTAAGCAGTAGAATGTAATTCAATCAGATCCTAAACATGCTAGAGGAACTTAATGACATCTTTAACAAACACCAGACTATCACTTGTTTCTAGTTTTAGTAAACACTCAGAGGCACTTGCATGTGGTAAGGAAAATATTAACACAAAATGTTAGTGTATTATGGATTCAGAGGAATCCCATAACCTGAAGCTGAACCCAGGCTGAAAATGCCGTTCTCTGATTTTGTCACACATTTAGGTTCTGTGGATTAGAGTGAAGTCCGTACATAACTTCTACACGATTTGTAATACTGTACTACTTGATCTCAGTGAGTTTATGAAGATTAAAAATAGGCTAAGGCTGAGGTCAGGAATATGGCAGTTGAACCATAAAATAAAGAAGGCAGGAAAAGGAAGGAGAAGAGACACAGTCTGTGACTGTGATCTAGTGCCTTCTCACAGGAGAAAAAAAACCAAAACAACAAGACAAAAGTGAGAATGGCGGAGTTAATTCCAATTCAGTGTTGCCAAAGGGCATTCACAAACTGATGGTCCTTATTTTTCAATCTTTTCGGAACCTTACAATGAATTTACGCTCTTAGGTAAATCTGTTCTTTAGCTCTTACATCTAATCCAGTCAAAGAGTTAATTAAAAATAATCTGAGATACAAGACATGCCATTCCTCCACAGATAAACTCATCTAATTCTCTTCAGTTGCCTCCATCTTGGTATTCCTGTAGAACATCAGCTCGACAATACAGTTTAGCTAACACAGGGACCTTCAGACACTGGTTTTACACAGGAAAATTCCCTGCTAGATGCCAGGGACCTGAAGTCTGAAGGTTCCCACAGCAAGGGTGAAGAAACTAACGGTGACAGTCCAATATCTTAATTTCTTACAGAAAAAAAAGCTTCTCCTCAGTCATGGCCTCTCCTATCATTAAATTAAAGTTAATATTATTAACTCAAAGCTGGACATACCAAATTCTTAACCAGGTAACAGAAAGAACAAATATCTTTTGGGGTCAACATTTCTAAATCAAATCAAATACATTTACCCTCAGGTACAGTCTCCTCATCAGATTCTTCTGATGTTTTCTCTTCTACAAAAACGAGTTCATCTACCTAAGGTAATTGTAAATAGAGAAGGAGTACATCACCAGTGCAAAGCTAAAGTCAAACATATCTCTCGTATCTTTACAACACTTTTATCTTAGAACATATTTGCTACCCTGGAAAGTGAGCAATGCTAAGGCAAATCTTGGGTTAGCCTGATTTTCCTTAAAAGAGCTACAGTTTGTTAAAAGTTTCCTTTTATTGTGAGCAGAGTTCTTTGACCTCCATTTTCACTCAAAGCAAGCAAAGACAAATGGCTGTTTCTCATGTGTTTGTTTCACATGACATACTGTTGCTAAGTTGTAGCTGAAAAACACTCAGTCCTGAAAAAGACAACTAAAACTGATAGGGACATTTTGTCCATCTCTCCATTTCTTGCATTAATAGGTTAATCTGTAAAACTATTAGGTTTTTGTAAAGTACTATTTAATGGAAATTTCTGGTAAAAAAAACCCCACCCAAACAACAAACCACAAAACACACCTCCACATGCTACCTTACTGTTATGAACACAAAAAAATTAAACATCAGCAAAAGGTCTATCACAGGGCATTGAAAGAAACCATGCAAGCATAACAAAAATACTCATTTGTATTTAAGTACCTGTTTTGCAAGTACCTCTTCACGTTTCTTCTGCCCAGCTGCAATTTTCCTCTCTTCTTCCACTAGTTCTGCTATTTTCCTACGGAGAAGAGGACCATCTGGACCTCTCACCATTGCAATAATTTTGCCATTCTGTGAAAGAGAAAAATTAGCACTGTGAGTTCTTGGCACTTAGGTTACATGTATACTTGCCTTTTAGAAGGCAAGTATATGTGCTGTATCTTGCTAGCTTTTTTTCCAGGAAAGTTTCCTCTGCCCACTGAAGCAAATATAAAAGCTACTACTGCCTCTCTTCATTCAGAATGAACCTTTCCTTGCTTTTACTTTCTCCCTTCCTTTTCAACTTTTTTTTTCATTTCTAGGCTCTCAGTTAATAGTACAGTCAGGAGTGACTGCACATATGGAATTTACTAGGTCTTAATTTCTATAACATGAAGTTTTCTATCTTTTTATTTCCATTGCATTTCAGTGAGTTCTCAGTCACAGTGAGGAGGTCCATAGCAAAGCTAACAACTGGCGATCAAAGATACCGTTAACTTGGCTTGGCAGCATTCAGATTCAAATCTATAAGTGTCCTAGAAGTATCCTTGTTCCTGGCCCCTAGTTGCAGAAATTTTAAGTCCTAGCACCCTCACATCAAAAAAACCCACTGGCTCCCAAGCAAGCAGTGTTCTACAGTGGAGTCCTCAGAGGATAATATTTCTGTATCCATCAGCAAGAGATAAATGATTAATTGTTACAATCACTCAGGTGTGAAAGACAATTTTATTTGTTTTCCTTAAAAAAAATAAAATCTTAAAGTTGCAGGAAGTGTAAACTCTTTTTCCCCTGAGGGAAAGTGTGCATAAAATAATCATTTCAGTGCAGCCACATGTGGGCGCTTTATACAAGACAACCCTGGAAAACTTACAGAGATTTCTTACTACGTAACCACCAAAACTGGCTATCAAAAGTCTTCTGTAGCTCTGTGTGCATCAGCCACAGTGAAAATGTGCTGGAGAACCACGGATTTAGGGAAACAGCCTCAAATAAACAACATCTAGTGATATCATCCTACATACTGTAAAATGTGAATATATGGTTTATACAGCTTCATGTTTCTTTTTAATCTACTGACATTTAAGGCAAAAGCAAGCAGCAAATTAAAAGAAACAAATGTAATGTACTCACTACACAAAAAAGAAACACAGGTTCACAGTTATCCCTAAATGGTCGCAGAACTGGAATGCTGTTAGCCTCTGCCTGAAGTCAAATGAAAAAGGTTATTTACTTAGGGGTGTGTGTACATACAGATAAGATGCATAAGGAAGCAGTCCATGCATCCTTGACAGAAAAGATTATCCATTGTATTAAGTTCTTTGTGACATGTAGTCAATGAAAGCACTTGAAATTATCTCTGAACACAACTCCCTGCTTTCTTTGTATATAAAATATATGTATTTTTCTGCAAAAATGTTTTGATCAAGCAATTGGAAGTTTTCAGTAGCATGAAAAAGGATGAGCTTGGTCAACATCTGGGAGGAACTAAATCTGTGAAAATTTTTTCTAACTGAAATACAATATATAACTCCTGTTTTATACTGCTTGTGTAAAGGAATATTTTTACTAATACAGTTTTGTGATAGTTTATATTTCAGTTCTCCTTTTTTGTTCTCTTAGGGGAATATTTAGGAAAAAGAAGTAACGGCATTTTTTGTAGACATCTGAGAATTTTAAATGTGATAATCCTTAACATAGGAACTTTAAAAAAATCATGCAATGTGGTTTTTGAATGTTTCTGCAATCTCATCAAAGAAAGCAGAAGTTATGGAATATTAGCTCTCCTCTGTTACAGTTTCTTCCATATTTATTAACAATTTCTAATCTACCATGAAACAAGCTCTAACAAGCAGGTATGTGGAAGAAACAACTAGGCCAAAATTATAACTACTTGGTATAAGGACAGCAAAATGGAAGCTCTACATACACAGACATACATATATTTAAAATAAAATGCAAATAAAGTTCCATCCTTACCACTGCGAAGTGCAGCACATCATCTTCACTAAACTTACTCTTCAGTTCTCTGAATAATCTCTGCACAGCTTTGCAAGGACCACACCAATCTTGATACACATCTATCACTAAAATGTAGTAGTTTGGAATTACAAGCAGCTAGCTGGTAGAACTTAAAGTGAGACATATTCATGAGTGTGTTGGAACAGTACTGGGAAGGAGTTCACAAGCATCTCTCAGTCCTCGTGGAGTCAAGGAATGCGTCATGAACACATCGATGCATTCAGGAGATACATCACAGTTTCCTCTCATTTCAATTACTTTTGACATCAACAACCTACTTCATAGTAGTATTTGATATTATTAACCCAGACGGCTGCATTTGCCTCATATTCCTTTTCATTGATCTTTTTCTTTGCCCACTGATATCTTTCATTCTTAACTAAGTCTCTATTCTACAGGATTTTTACCTCAAGTTCATGCAGATCATTTCTCCCCCATTACTACTACTCTGTAGATATGACCCCATTACAGATTTGTTCCTTCTACCTAAATATAATTCCTAAGATATAGTTACTGGACTGAGAACACCAAAAACTAGGAATAATACACACCATAGAACACAAATTCTCAAGAATGCTGTCCAACTTAAGTACAACCGTACAGTATTAATTTGGTCTGTACAAGGTTTTAGGAGGAAAATCTTCCACGGAAGCATCCAACTTGCTAACATACAGAGTACTGCATTGGAAAGGTATCTTCTCAAACTTGTGAAACAGTGGATAAAATAATGGCTAATATAATCTGTTAAAAATACTTATTTATCACAGAAAACAGTGCATATTCATAAACACAATATATAAATTTATAAATATATTAATATAACATTTCTTTTAAAGGTAACATGCTGCTAGTCTTCTAGATTTATAACAAGCATCCATTAAAGATATGACACAGTAATACAAAAAACTGCACACATCTTCGTGAAAGATTAAAAAGAACATAGTAACAACTAGTACCTACTACTCCTTTTGTCAGCAACATTTCATCCCACTGGTTTTCATTGGTTATTATGTCCTGAAAAAAAGTAAATTGACATTTTAATTTTTTTAAAAAATAAAAATAAATCTATTAATCTCAAATTTTTCAAATAATTTGGATTTATACCTGAAGCTGGTCTTGTTCCTTCTTGCCTGCCATTTCCCTGTGATTATAGGAAACCTGTCAAAGTACAAAGCACATTTAAGATTTTTTTAAAAGAACGTGACATGAAGAACTGATTTATGTATTTTTTTAACACAACATTGCCTTCTGATTACCTTAAAAATTAACTCAACTGAAGCCTTTGCAACAATGCCAGTTATCAACCTATGTCAGAACTCTGCGAAGTAATATACTATTCATTTACAAAACCCACATAGCACAAGAAAAAAATAATTTTGTTTCTTAATCTGACAGAGTCCTGACAATTTTTTAGCCTCAACAACTTATTAAGCTTAGTTACTCTGTTTAGAATGGCCACAGGGACCTTGGACAGTATGGCAGATGTTGTAATGGTGAACCATTTCAGAAAAATATTGATTAAAGAGTTTCAACTCTAATGACATCAAATCAAACTTCCTATATTCTGAGATACACAAAAAGTAATGACTTACACATATCCTAGAACTAAACTCACAGACTGAATCCTGATGCATTCATCATTCTGTCATTAATAAAAAATGGTAGTCTTTGTTTTGGGGAAAAATGGAAGTGCCAGCATGAATGCGACCGGCACCGATATCTAACAAGTCAGACAGCAAATATGTCCAGCAAATACTTTTTAATTAAGATTTCACATAACACACTCTCTCACTAATGTTGCAGATATTACATGATAAAACATGAACAGACAAGCACATTTTCTCTGTAGCAACATGTTTCTCTAACCTTGACAGCAGGCATTTTCATAGCCACCCTTTATCAAGTACATGCAAAGGTCACACTTCTTACCACACACTTTGCAATCCAAACTGCTTCCTCGGACTATCCACATGTAAAAATAGACCTGCCTGCACACTCTGATACACCAAAAAACTGACATTCAAACGTACACATTCTTTGCATATAGACATCCAGTATCTTAGCAAAGGCCTTCATACATATGTATGCATGAAAATATCCAAGTGCTTGTGAGATTTTTGACATACACCTGTGTGTACATAAATACAGACACACAGGTCCCTGGGCACCAGCACTCATGTACAACAACAGGTCACTGCATGCTCCAAGGCAGCACTCTATCAGACCATTTGCTCCTTACCCCTGAATTCTACAAAAGTGGATAAAAAATGAAAGATCATGGATGGGAAGCACTCACTGAGGTCCACGCCACGCTTCAGCTTGCAAAAACACCCGTGTGTTTCCACAATATCTACATTTAGCCCATATCCAAGGCTAAACTAGAGTAGCTTGGGGCAGCTGCCCTGGCTCGTGCCCCTCCCAGCTCAAGGTCCTGAACCACTCCAAACTGCTGATGGCTGCAAAACATGGCCAGCCTGGGATTCCATCCCAGCGAAACCACGACCCACAAATACCTGCAAAGAATCACATCCTTCTGCAGCCACCGAGTGATCAAGCTCACACCTCTGTTCACAGAATCACACGATTGTTGAGGCTGGAAAAGACCTCTGAGATCATCAAGTCCAGCCAATGACCCAACACCACCACATCAGCTAGACCACAGCACTAAGTGCCACATGCAGTCTCTCCTTAAACACCTCCAGGGACAGTCACTCCACCACTTCCCTGGGCAGTGCATCCCAATAACTGATCACCCTCTCCAGGAGGAGGTGCTTGCTGAGATCCAACCTAAACCTCCCCTGACGCAGTTTCAGGCCGTGCCCTCTCGTCCTGTCACTGGTTGCCTGGGAGAAGAGCCTGACACCCACCTGACTGCACCCTCCCTTCAGGCAGTTGTAGAGAGTGATGA